TTGGATATGGGTGGTCGGCGGGGGGGGGGGGGGGCCTCTACTTCCATTGTTGAGAGAGAGAGATGGGGTTCAAGTAGTGTAGGAAATCAAACCAGAATGGTTAACTGGACATGGGGCTGAAAGTAGTTCAACCGGCCTAATTGATAAATCGGCCAGCTCAACAGACCTAATCAAGCAAGTCCTGAGTGGTAAAAAAGGTATTAAAAAATAAAAAAAATTTAATAAAATATTACAAATATATTTACAGCGTGATTAAACAAAGCATATCCAAATGAAGTTGAAAATTAATGAAAGAATGGACTTTAAAAAATCGATATGTGCACAAAGGTATTTTTGAAATTTTCCAAAAAAAGATGGGGAGCATATAGAAATAAGTATTAATGGCTAAAACGATTTCCAATCTTTACAAAAATGATGATTTTTTTTTAAAAAAAAATACATTATAAACAAAATCCCTTATTTTTTGAGATTTTATGTAATTGTTTGAATTATTTTTAAAATACCTGGTCTGTTCACCAAAACCGGCCGAAATCGGAACTGATCTGTAGGTATAACCGGTCGGTTAGAATTTCAACCGCCTGATTTTTTTTTTCTTTTTTGAATGGTAACGTATGACTTATCATTAATTTAAATGTAAAATACAAGATATTCAACTAAAGACACATGATTACAAAAATGAAGTAACCTACAGAGAGGGAGTATGAACTCCTCCTTTGGCAAGAACATCAATATCTTCATTCATCTCTCTATAACAATGTTGGACCGTTACCATAGAGGTTGACAAAATATTACAAATTTAATGAAAAATAGTCCTTAATCTCTAAAAGAATATGGGTCTTTTTCTTACTCCAGGTAATAACATTTGCCGAGTCTCCTTTGATAATCCTATCCCCCATCCAAAGTGCATAGCAATTTCAAACTTTCTAATAAACCTTGTGCTTCCGCCTTATTTGATGTTATGATACCACAAGGATCTCTCATTTGTTGTTGTGATACCACAAGGACCCGAGTAAGAAATATAATGTGACTTAAATTATTTATGATGAGACCACTATAGCCAGCTGGCCTTGGATTGCCAAGTGAACTTCCATCAAAATTAAGTTCAAAGGAATTCACTAGTGATGGTATCCAAACAACCTCGTTAGGAGTGTTGGTGGTAACACCCATAATTGTCACTGCTAAGGGATTGCTAATGATAAGACTTTTTAGAATAAAGTCACTATCCTTATGAGTGAGGAACCAATCAGCTACCATTGCTAAAATATTCGGTTTTAATGTAGACAGATCTGTACTTATACACTCTTCTATTTCTTTCCTTCCACACACTCCAAAGAAGGCTAACCCAAATAGATCTCCAAAGAATAGTTCTCATCTTTGAAATATTGGGTGTGATCCATTAGTCAAGAAGAGTTATGACATTATGGGGCAAAGGTAATGACAGATTGAAGCACTGTCGAGCTCAATCCCAAAGATATGTAACAAAAGGGCATGAGAGGAAAATGTGCTGTGAAGTTTCATCAATGTCTTTACATAGAATGCATACATTGCTAATAATAAACCCCATCTTCTTAAGTTGTCAACAATTGTTAATTTATCTTGGCACAAGATCCATAAGAATAACTGCACTATAAAAGCACATGCAAGTTCTTGATCTTGAATAAACCAGCATCCAACTCTTTCCAATGATAAGAAAATAATAGATTGTAGGTTTATTTAACCGAAAAATCTCCCGAAGAGGTAAGATCCCAAATAAAGCTATCATCCATATTTGAAGTCAAATATGTGTCATTCAATAATTCCAACAATGTTTGATACTCCTCAATGAAACTGTATGTACCTCTCTTATACGTGCAAAAAACGAGTCAAACAATATTAGTATAAACACGTCACTAGCCTCCTTAACATATGCAAAGAATTTCAACCGCTTGATTTTTCCTACTCTATGTAAGGAAGGTTGAAAGGGAGAGATGGGGGGAAGGGGTTGGAATGTGATGAAAGAGAAGCGAGGTACACGTCTTTTTTCACTCAAATTAACTCATAAGAATCATATTTAACAAGTCCAACAAACGCCTGAAGAGCACATATTTTATGGAAAGCCTCCTTTTTGTTAAAATATAAAAATAAGCACTGTTTTAATTATACAAGAGAGTTTTTTTATTCTATATATATATATATATATATATATTAAAAAATATGCACCTTCGAATCTTGCCATACATGATCCCATTTTTTATTAAAAAATAGGTATATCTTATTTTATTAAAAAAATATAAACTTCCCTAACTTATTTTATTAAAAAATTCTTAAAATTCGATGGTTTAATTAATCATTAAAAGGGGTTTCTTTTTTTTAAATTTAAATAAAAACCATTGTGGTAAACAACTAAAAGGGGTTCCGTTTTTCAATTAAAAAAAAATGCGCACCATTGAGCTGAGGTTTGAACACGGGGTTCCATCAAGAGGGGTTCCTTTTTTATTAAAAAATAAGGAACACCATTAAGATTTAATTAAATAATTAATAGAGATTCCTTTTTATTAAGAAAAATACGCAACATTAAACTGAGGTTTGAACGAGGGGTGCAATTAAGAGGTATTATTGAAAAATAAGTACCATTATGATTTAGTCGAATGATTAAGGGGGATTCTTTTTGTTATTAAAAAAATACGCACCATCAATCTGAAGTCCGAAGTTTGAACAATGGGTTCACAAAATGATGTGAAATGGGCAAGATTTGATACCTCCAACCTGTTATTGAGACCCCATAACTTTTTACCAATAAAATACTTGAGTACTCGTGATAAAAATGAGTATCTTATTATATATAAAAGCTTATTTTCTCTTTTTTTTTTTTTTAACATTACATGAACTCGTTCACATTACTTGGACTTTCTTTTTTTTTTTTTTTTTTAACATTACATGAACTCCTCTGAGTTATTTGGACTTAGATGAGCAACTTACCTTAGCCAAGGTCCAAATACCCAGGAAAGGAGCCCAGGCTTAATTAGTTAGCGGTTGACGATTTGCAACACCACGTCCTAAACTCAATTCCTTCCAAGTGTATGGGCCCTCTCCCCCACCAACTCACCGAAAAAAAGGTCCAAGTACCTTGGTCAATTCAATTTTCTAAATGCTGATTACTAGGGCCATTCTACCCAATTGAAAATGATTAAAAATACATATTTTTTGTTAAAAATATTAATTAAGTGATTTATAAAGACTTTTTGTCATCTATAAGGTTTTAATGATGGTTTGGCAAGTTTTCTCTCAAAATGCTCCAATTTTTATTTTTTATTTTTTTATTTGAATATTTCAAGGTATAAATCAAAATCTTCAACAATCCATCGTTTATATATTTTTGCTAGACTTTCATAGAATTGTAATGAGCTCTATTACTCATTTAATTTTTCCTTATTTTTAATTTTTTTAATATTTTTAGCTATTTAACCATATATATGTTGTATGTTGCTCCCCAAGTCTACTCGAACCCAGCTGAGTTACCCTACTCAGTCTAGGGTTGGGTCCACCAAGTAAAGAAACAATGGTCGTTGATAGGCTTTATATATGGATGTCTAGTAAATCATTACAACATAATAACATCATGGTGGCTTTGGCATTTGGATAAGGAAACTGACAAAAAAAAACAACGATTTTTTTCTATTTAGGGTAATTATGTTGGAGGACAGGCCCAACCTGTTTTTTTTCAAGTAGATTGAGTTAGCATTTTGAAAGCATTTGTGGGGTGGGGTGGTGTTAATGGTGGGAATGGATTTCTCTTTAGGGTAATTATGTTGGAGGACAGGTACTACCTGTTTTTTTTCAAATAGATTGAGTAAGTATTTTGAAGGCATTTGTAAGGTGGTGTTAGTAGTGAGAATAGAAACTACAACTTAATGACTACGATGTGGGATGCTATCTCCATGACCCAACCCTTTTTTTCGAAACGACTGGCACTTGTAATGCTCTGAGTTCCAACAACTTTCTAATACTAAAAATACAAAATGGACATCATCTCATCATAATAACCATTGTTTCGAAGCTCACCCCAAGCCAAGGACACAGCCTTGCGCAAGCCAAGTTACTCTGCGAGTTTAAGTAACTCGCCCGAGTCGAACACGTTTAAAAAATAAAAATAAAAATTTAAAAATCCTAAAGATGAAAGATACAAGGGCAACCGGAGTTTTGGCCACGAGCCCCACACCCCGTCCCCTGGGGCCACAAAGCCCCACACCCCTGCCTCACACATTTCTCTCTCTCCCCCTCCCTCCTTTGGGCCACGCAGGCCCTCTCTCTCTCTAGTCGATCCATGGAGGCTGTATAGCATGCAACAATTGGAAGAGGTGAAGTGCTTGGTAAGAGTTGTGCAAAAATTGAAAATGAAATTTGGTGCTATAGAAGTAGGGGTTTTATGTTGGAAATTAGATAGAGAGAGAGGAGCTGTTAGAGAGAGGTTTTTACAATTTCTTTTACTTTTTTTTTATTTATTTTTTATTTTTTATTTATGTAACCCCAAGTTGTACATACTAGTAGGGGGGGCCGGCTGAGTCCTGGTACACTGACAATAAACACAGGACATCAAAAAATGAATTCAAGGACAATATTGGAACAAATGATACTAGTTCATCCATCATTTTCATCTTTACCCCTTCCCAACATAATTAAACAAACATTCTCAAAAAAAAATTTCTGAAATGACAAAATATAATAAGGTGTAATTTTTTATCCAAAATTTTGGAACCCAAAAAGATAGACAAATACAAAATCAAGGCCCACGCTTGAAGGGACCAAAATTGGGAATAGGCAGTTGTTTTCCTCCACTCATTTATGAGTGAAAAAAGGCCCAACTTGGTCTGATCCACAATTCATGGGAGCCTTTTCCTCCACTCATTTAGGAGTGAAAAAGGGCCCAACTTGACCCACAATTCATGGGAGCCTGCCTTTTGCAACCCCGCTAATTAAAAAAGTGCTGCCAAAGTATCTGGGACCATGCAACAAGAAATAACTGTTTCTCCCCATCCATGGAAAACTCGCCTTCTTTGTGAAGTTCTTAAGCTGTACAAACGGTCTAAACATTTGAACATTACTATGTACCGACCGTAGCAGATTGTCCATGCCGCTCACAAATCCTTAACAAATATACACAAATAAATGATGTGACAACCAACGGTCGAGTCGTTTTTAATGTGAGCATTCTACACTGTCATTAACGAATTAGCTTACTCGCGACATGCAAGTGCTGCGTACAGTCAAACAGTCTTTGCAGAGTCTAGGATGTTGAATAGCCTCAGAGTGATCTGTAGAGAAATAAGAATCATGACCCAAGCTCCCATTCAGGTGAATCTTAATATTCAATTGATATTGAAGCATTTAGGGTATGGTTATCTTGTTGGCAAGAAAGTATTAGTATAAGCTAATGATTATGTTTCTTCCCTACTTGTAAAGATCAAAGTTCGTATCCCTCAAATTGGCATTGAAGCATTAATCCTCTAAATCTTCATACAGCAAGATCATTAAAACATTGATCTTGAGAATTTTCTAAGCAGGTATTTACTATGTTGATTTTCCAAAGGGAAGATAATTCTATACTCAATATGAGTATAAAGTTCGGTACTCAGAGCCAACACCCACCATTCATATTTATCCACAGACGAACATAGATTGGTGGTTCACCCCTGGCCCCATTTCAGACAGGAACAATTAACTCAACCTGCAGGGTATGACTGCAGCTACCGGGTGTGAGTACCAAATACCCTATACTCGTACAGAGTATGATATACAGTCTCTTTTCCAAAATGTTGACTACTTTAGAAAATTCTCACTAATATCTCGAGTATTCTAGAAGAATAGTAAGCAATAGGGGAGAAATGAATTAACATCCTGAAACTCTCCAAGCATACAGTGAACAACTTGCATTTTTTTACAGATTTACTAAATATAAATTCTATGTTTTATGTAAATCTATTTCCAGATTATATGTAGGGAATAACAGAAAAATAGAGGGATAAATTCTAAATATATTACAGAAAGCATCCACATTTGAGAACAACCAAGTTATATTTTTGACAAATTTTTAAAGGAAAAAGCAAGGCGCTATTTTATTATGCATAAGGGAACAAACATGATATTCATCACCATCAGTATAACATGGTTGGAAGTAGTACTTACATTATCAAGGTGGCTATGAGGCTCTCTTCACAATGATAGTTTGATGTAAATGAAGCTTCTGTAAATATTCAGTTTCGACTGTTGAATAGCAAGTTTGCAATAAAGCGATCAAACCGATTTGTTTGAGATTCCATCCATCTTGATGTTCCATTCCTGCAGATAGGATCCCTCATTTTTTATAAGTCTTCACTATTTAATGTCAGCATTCTGGACTAAAGTTACTTCTCTAAATGCATTTAAGAATTAGAAACTGCCAATAACATAAGCATTTTAAGAGCATGAAACTGTCAAACGAATCATAAAGATATCAAGATCATCTTGATAATGAATCACTTCAGATGAAGTTCAGGGTAAGTTTCTCTTTCCTCAACAGTAGGTATTCAAGCAAATGATTCCACGCACCAACCATTGCCCCAACAATTACTTCCACGATTTGAATAACAAGACACTTCCATGATTCGAATAGTGAGACAAAAATCACATAACAATTATGCATTTAAAATTGGGGAAACTATATTGTAATCCAATGTAGAGATTGAAGAAGATGTCACACATAGAATTAGAACTGCGTGGACGAAGTGGAGATGTGCAATCGGAGTATTATGTGATCACCTCATACCAATGAAGCTGAAGGACAAGCTCTATAGGAAAACAGTGAAACTAACTTTATGGGGCAGAATGTTGGGCAGTCAATAAACAACATACCCAATAATAGTTAACAACTTCCCAAAAAAAAAGATATACTCATAGAATGAGTGCAGTTGAGATGGATGAGTGGCAAGACAAGAGGGTATAAGATTCGAAGTGAAGATATTTGAGAGAATTTAGGTGTGGCACTAATAGGCGATAAGATAAGAGAAAGTAGACTTCGGTGGGCTTGCCATGTGTGGTGCATACCCAGTACAACACTTATTAGGAGGTCTAATTTAGTTCCAGGAGAAGTTTAAAAAAGATAAGGGGTAGGCATAAAAAAACATGGATAGAAATAGTAGGAAAAGATATAAGGACTTAAGGCCGCATTGAGGGTATGTCCCTTAATAGAGTAGAATGGCAGACCAAGATTCGTGTAGCCGACCCCAATTAGTTGGGAAAATGTTTGATGATGATGATGATGATATTGTAATCCAATGTAGTATGGAAAACCATAATGCATTCGACCAAAAATCTAGACCGATAGTGGATGAAAATAAGGGGAATTTTCTATAATCCAATCTACTATAGAAAACCATAATCCATTCAATCATCACCATTCATTGAAATGATGGACAGTGATGGATAGTGTGACCCACCATAATATATATGATACCTTAGTAGCTCCCATTCTCTTCAAATCACCATCCCTCACTTCATTAGGATCGTGATGTATCAATGGAGTATGGTTTTCCTTAGTCCATCTTATCGTAATGCAGTTTACCATAAAGACATTGAAATATTCGGGATCAAACAGTCATGTAGAATATTTTGCTTTTCTTTTTTGACAAATATAGAATATTTGGCTTTTATTAACTGTTTTTTATTTTCTAAAATTTCCACTTGTCTTGAGTTGTAAATTCTATAATAGATTGGTTGGTTAAGAAAAAAGAATTTCATGATAGTAGTTGCAAGACTTAACACAACAGTTCTATGGATGTTCATACTTGATACTTGGAACCTCATGAGCAGAAAATTAGATCAAGTGCTGAGACAGGCACAAGAGCGATAACCATATACAGGGGAACTCTATGATAGACTCATTGTTGCGTCGTATTAAAACATGAACAGATATATCCATCTTTAAAGGCTGTGTGGACAATATATAATAATGCTTCAACTACTTTTCATCGTAATGAGAAAAAACAAATCGTATTTTCTACTGTTGACTTTCATTTTCTGTGGAATATCATAAATGATTCAAGTAACTTTAACCTCAATTTTGACAATCCAAATCCTCAAATAATTAGGAAAGAAACTAGGACCATCTTCTTCATGTTGTAAAGATACCAGGAAACATAACTAACTTTAGTAGTTTTATTGAAGAATGAACATTGAGATCAGAAAATTAAGAGTGGATAGATAACTCCTTTGTTGTTCATGCAGCAGTGACTAAACAATGAATCTTCCGCTTAATATAATAAACAAGCAAGGGAATGTCTACAATAAACAAAGGGACTATTGGAAACCATTGTCAAAGGAGTGATCACCGTCCAATAGCCGGACGAACATTTCCAAAAAAAAAAAAAACCTTGATAGTGAGTCCCTCCCCACTCCCTCTTCCACTCTCTCCGATGCTGTCCATTTCATCGAATGGTGATCACCCAACTGGTTTCTATAGTCCACATGGATCATTGCATGCTTTCCCAACAAATACTATGTAAAAATGGACGAATTCATATACAAGGAAAATCCCATACCTTGAACTCCCAGTGCATGTCAAAGAAGGGCACGACCTATCCATGATTGGTTTAGTATTTGTGCCTTCTTTTCTAGATATCTGTTGCTTTGAAATTGCAACCATGCGATACAAGGCATCCCGGAAAAAGATCCTAGCATTAGGGTTTAACTGCCAAACAATTTTGGTTAGCTTTATTTGGATATTTGCCAAGAGCAAGGACATTTAAACCTTCAGTTTTTATTTAGGATAAGAAGACTGATAACAGTTTGTTAATTCTACCTGTGTAATTACAGCTTCAAGCTCCTGCAGCACCAATTCTGCCGAGCTTTCTTCTTCTTCCAACTTTGGTTGTTCCATGTGAAATTCATTCATACCAGTATGGGTCACTGACGTGAAAACTGGTCCCTGAAAGTAAGTCGCATTAACACATTTGCTTTCCTTATATCCATATGAACTCAGCGATAGTTAAGAAAAAGCCCAAAGATATATCACATGGTCACTCTAGTATACTGCCTCTAAATCTGAGAAATTTCCAAGCACTATTTCTAGAGAAAAACTGTTAATCTTTTTCAATTAATTTCTCTTGAAAGAATCCATTTACCATTTGGTCAGTTGTTCAGAAATTCAGTGTAAAAGAGCAATTGATATGCTGAGAAGTAATTTTCTTTGTTAACCATTATGAATAAGAATCTCATGTAATTGGAGTAAAAAGCAGTTTGCTGCTTTACAGATCTGCAGGACTTGTAACCATCAATGTCATATCCACGTGGATTTTTCCACATGGACACACATGTTCATAGTTCTTGATACATGCATATATACGCCAAGGACACAATACATGTCCAATTTGAGAAACTCAAAAATACTTACATAACCCTTTTTTTCAATGTCACTAATAACGTATTAAGATCCACCATCCCTGCTTCTCTTAAAGGTGTATGGATAGTCTAAATGGTTAATCCTGTAGGTGGCATTTCCAATATGGGTGTTAATATTAGACACCGGTACCCATGTCTGTGTTCTTGTAATAATGAATACATAATAATCTTGCCATTGGAGCTTGAGCTATCCCAGAAATAAAGAGCAGAAAACATCATTAACCAAATGGCAAGTAGCAGTAAAAATGTCCTTTAAGATACTCATCTTGGCCATTGAAATTTCACGTTCAACCATAGAAACACCTAAAGATCATCAACTTTCAAAAAGGAAACATCTAAAGAGATCATCATAGTATAGACAGACAATTTCTTTCTGACATCTTAACTGTTCTCAACAACTATTAGAACTTCAACAAATTTTATGGATAGAAGTTACGTCATTTAGATTATTTGTTAGTTTTTCTTCTGCGGTATTATTCCAATCTCCAACTTCATGCATTCATCTGTGAATGCATATGGTTACAATCAAGGGCCATGAGTCACTTTGCACACTTCCAACTGCTAAGTGTTTTCACAAGCAAGCCAGTAGCAACACGGGGTGAGTTATCTATGGACATAAAAATCAGAGCTTTGCATATGTCAAACAAATTCAATGATTTTGACATTGGTTGAGAGAATTAAGGTCATTTCTTTGTAAGATGCTCAGGGTACCAATATAAGATTCCTGAGAGGAGCAACTAACATTACTTTTACTTATAGCAACTTGAGAAATCTTAAGATGAATTGACTAACCAAAAGAAAACGAAACACACCTTCACAATTAAGGGACCTTCCTCCCTCTCATAACAACCTGCTAGACCATGAGAGCAAGCTTCTTGTTTTGAATCTTCTTCCCAATCACTTGATCTAAGATCTGCTGCCGAAGGAGCATCACTAGTTTTCAGATGATTTGAGATATCAGTTGAAGATGATTCCTTCACAAAGCTTAACGGATCGATAAACATCTCTTCCAAAAGTTTCTCATATGCCCTTAAGCTGCATTCCGGGCCATTTAATTGCTCTGGTGATTGCAAAAACGTTTCGATACCTGGTAAATCCACTTCCAACGATGGGTTTCTGCACATTGAAAATACTTAAAAGATAAGAAACACAAAGAATTCAGATGAAATACAACAAAATACAATGAAATATGGAAACCTACAGTCCATCGTGGTCATCAACACTCATTGAAATGATGGGTGCTGATTGGAGAGAGTGCAACCTACTATAACAGTACAGGATTGCAATGCCGGTCCCACTCTCTCTATATAACCATCCACCATTTCTTCAGATGATGATGACCTCATTTAACAATTGTTTTCATGGTCCTTTGGATTATAGTAATACTTTATCAAAAGCTTCATTGAAGGAGAAAACAGCTAATACACCCAAATGATGGGTTATATTCATGCCAATGTATTTTGAGTAATTATTCAGCCTATAGACCAAAAAACAAGTTTAATTTTTGGGTAAGTAAAAAACCCAAATTCATTGGACCAATTTTAATTTCATACATGAAAGAACTACTGCCAATCTGGGGCATTCTTCTTGGGGGCTGATCATCCTCCCATTGGTTCTCCAACTGATAATCTGACCCTTCATCTGACAATTCATTCTCAGGTAAATCACCGAACTTGCCTACCTTATAATTTACCCAAGAGAGATTCCCATAAATTCCATGAATGGGAGGGTCCTCATTGAGCTTAAGCTGTGAGGTCTTCGAGAAGTCTTCATCATCCAAATATGATAACAGTGATTCATCTTCAGTGTGTGAACTCCCCTCTTGATTTGAAATAGATTCACCGTAAAGTTCGGAGTAAAGGCTTTCCATATCAAGATTTGGTGTTTTATTTTCACTTCCCCAAGGTTCCGAGAATGAGGTAGATATCCAATTTGATGAACACCGTTTTATTCGTTTGTTCACTCCCTGTTGGAGCCAAGCATCAGGTGATGGAACTTTGTGGTCATTGCATATCATCTCTGATGCCTTTTGACGATCCACTGGAACAATGTGATCATCACTATTGTTGATGAGATTCCAGTCCATGTCGAAATCCTATGTGAAAAAACACCCAAGAGAATGATCAGGCAATAGCTTTGATATTTGATTTTGGCAATGCATACTGTAATCCAATGAAGCATGGCATATGGTACCCGAAAGGGTAATCAACCAATGGTTTTTAATGTGCCTCAGGCATTGGACTCAGTCCTGGCCCGACGAGAGTAACTCGGCCAAGCCTGATTGGACTTGGCCTAGTAGCGCACACAGCCCAAAAGGCCCTAAAACATTTTAAAAAAAAGGTTTAAAAATTAAATAAAATATTTAAAGTGAAAACAAAACCAAAGCCAACATAAAAAGTTCAAAAAATGTAAAAGAAAAATATATAAGACATGGATTTAGAAAAACCTAATTTATGGTGGGACACATTTTAGAAAAATCCAGAAAAGGAGGAAACTATAAAAATAAGGCATATGATAAGAAAATCTCAAATTATTGTAAAGCATTCAAATTACATATATGTTATTTATTAATGGATTCCACTTCCAGATTTATGTTGTTTTTAAAAAAAATTTAAGCAGCCCGAGTACTCTGCTAGGCAAAGAGCCGAGTCCAAGTAACTCGGCCGAGTCCACTCTGGATTTGGCCGAGCTTTAAACCACTGGTATCAACCATCCATTCTGATGATGAACTCCGACGATTAACCTTAGTGGGGCTAATCAAGACATTCAACTCAAGCACAGCTGATGTCCATTATTCATCATTGAGAACGGTGGCGAATGACACTTTGGAGCAATGTATAACAAACCCAATTAGATTATGGTATAGTTTTCCATTTTATACACATGCAAACTTCACAAATTCTACAAAAACTATTTGTTGAAGTAGTTTGGATATCTAAAGGACGTAGATCAATACATGACACATAAACTCTCATGTACTACCCCCAAAGAAGGCATACAATGTATTGATACAAAAAGAAGGTGATGTGAGTACGCAACCCTAAGCTAGATGAATTTGCTGCTTGCTTTCGTGTCTTCTCTATTATTTGAAATCTTCACCAAATTCCTTCAAAAAATTGAACTTATGGTTACCCTTTTTTATTTTATTTTTTGAAATTGTTATGGTTACTCTTTTTTGGTGTTATATTGTGAACACTTTTGTTTACAATGGTTAAAAGATTTGAACATCCATCTCAATCAATCAAGACAAGATATATAGAGAAGACACAGCAAAAACTCCATTGCTCCTTAGCTGAGGAAACCAACTTTTCAAACCATCTGCCAAGTACGGGTAATAGCATGACTTAATAATCATTCATTAAGAAAAAAAAAAAAAAAAAAATTTTCAATAATCCATGGAAGCTGCCAGATAAACAAAAATTGGGTGCATGAAAGTATGAATTAATATTTGACATTCAAAAGAGAATAATGAATTAATCAACAATAATAGAATACATAAAAAATCATCAATATGGAAGCATAAAATGGTATGCATATAACAAACTCAAGAAAGTTCTTTGATCCTACCTTGGCTATCAAATACTTGATCAGTTTATTGTTTTATGGCCCAAATTCCTCTTTGATACTCCGTTAACAGAAATAAGAAAAAAGCTGGATATTTGTAAAATCCCCAAACTTAGCTGTAAGTCGGAGCTGTAAGAGATGCCCAACTCTAACCCAAATGGCGAGTTAAAAACCCTAACTCCAAATCCCAAAGCACAAGCCGAAGTCCTAATCAATACGAGGAATCATGAGATTGAAGAAATGAGAAACCAGAATTCAGAATAGAAAATATGAGAACAGATAATGAAACCCTATCCCTAAATCCCGAGTAAAGATTGAGTTGACACTTGATAGGGAATGAGCAACTCTCTCTTCTTTGTCTCTCCAAGAATGTGTGGCTCGTTGTTAATAGAAGGCTTGTGGCAGAGAAAGCAGTACATCTAGTTCTCGAATTTTATTCGTCCACGTGGCCAATTTCAATATCCAACCAATTTGGTGCTTGAGAATGTGCCACGTGGAAATCAAACTAGGGGCTGCCACCCCTTGTGGATCTGGACGGCTGAGATTAGAAAATACGGAATTTAGCGGTCTAGATCAAGCGATATTTATACAGGAACCCTTAACTGTTATGGGGTTTCTATCAGTCAGCCCACTCGTACTGTGCATATGCGGGCCCACACTTAGATCTACCTCTAAAATGGGTTTTTAATCTAAATCTGTAGGTTTCACGATCTAGATTAAGATGATCATGACTATGGAAAAAAAGAAAATTTTCAATATTTAAAATGTCATTTTTTATGGAAAAAGGAAAAAGTTTATACAAAGTTGCAACTTTAAAATGTAGAACTATAGACGCACCTCAAAAATCTATCGAAAAAGGTTGTTTTAATGTTGAAAGGCTCTCTAAATTGATCATCTAGATAACAAGATGTATGAATAGGAAAAAAAAAATTGAATATTAAATATAGTGCATTTTGCTACACATTATCTAGACCATCCATTTTCATGATTTTCATATGTTTATAGATCTACTTGATTTTAACTATTTTTAGAGTTTAAAATTTTATAATTAGTATGATAATCGATTTTGAGATAATCGTAAGAATTTTTTACACCAAAATTACATGTTATGATAAAATTTGGCGGTGCGTGGATTGTTTAAGATTGCAATCTTATAAAAATCACACCCTTGTCTAAATTCAATTTAGACTTGTGAGATTTTTACATGCCCATCTTAGAGAGGCAACGAACCCTCTTACTCATGAATAACTTATCCTAAGCATAAAAGTGAGTATACTATGCTCCCGTGGAGCAAAACATTGATTTGCTCCCTCCGGTGAAAATATTATACGTAGAGAGTTGTTTTTGTATATGAAAGTATGGGATTCATTTAAACATCATCAGATGATAAATTTTAGAAAATCGAAATCGGATTTTGTGCTCTCTTTTAACATTTAGATCTTGTTATAAAAAAATTGATCATTTTAGTTCAATTTTGGGACATTATTTTTTCAGCTCGAGAGAGTGTCTTTCAACTTTTTTTTTTTTTTTTTTGCATCCTAACAATACTCCTAGATTAATATTTGCCCGAGGGACTAAATTGATAGTTTGCTCCAGCGGGATCATAGAATCATTAGGATAAACATATATACATGAAATGGACATGGCCCCAGCCTGTCACGGGACCCTAAAGCCGAGACCCAGGGCTGGACAGGGATAGAGCCTCGTCTAGATCCGGCCCCACTATTGGGCTAGGTGCCTGGGTTTAGTCTTGTTGATGGGGTCGGGTCGAGGAAAATTGGGCATGGCCATTTGATCGTACATTTTCTTTAATTTCATAAAAATAACAAAAAAAGTCCGGGCATGGCCATTACCTCGGACCTAGGCCCGGCCTGACCCTAACAATGAGCCTATATTTCAGGCGTGGGTGTGGCCTCGAGCCAAATTTTGTGGGGACCAAGCCCAAATTGTTCAGGGCTAACCTGAGTTTCCCGACCCATTGTCATCCTTAATCACAGTAAAAAAAAAAATGCTTTGAAGTTGAGAGAAAATAAGTACATGTGAATTGTTAAAGATAAAAAACAAAATAATAAGAATATCAAATAAAAGTGCTCAAAATACATGGAGAAACAAGAAGAGGCTTACATATAGGGGTGCCAGCCGGTTGAGTTGGGTCTCGGTCCGGCTGGACCTGGACCCGGACCCAATATAGTGTGGGACATAGATCCAGAATCGAATAGTGTTTAGGTCCAAGATTTGGACCTGAACCCTATTGGTACGTGTGTGGCCATGGGGCCTTAAACGTGTAATATTTCTCTTTCTTATAATTTAATGCTTATCACTAAAAAAATGAGACTTCTTAGAGAGGGAAAGCACCGTTTTCTAGCGGCTAGAAAGTAAGCACTTATTTCTCAGGATTACAGGGCCATTTTTTCTGAGAGATTTCAGGAGGAAACCGAACGTTGGAGAACGTTCTCACAGTTCTGGTAAAAGCCTGATATTTGTAATTGATAGTCTCAAGACACTACCCCTAATTATAGAAGTGGATCCATCTCTTCTATCAAGTTTTCAACATTAGTATCAGAGCAAGTTGTGGAAACTTGGTGGGCTCATAACCTATAGGTCCCAATTTTTTTTGGTATTTTATATCTTCTTTTTTTTTTCTGAGTTTAATTTATAGTAACTTTGATATTGTGCTTTGTCATTCACGTATATCTTGTTGTAAATTTTTTTTAACCTTAAATTTAATAGTCTAAATTTATTTATTTATTTTTTATGAATTTCTCTCTCTTAATTTATTGCTTCTCATTTGCGATAAGTCATCTGTTTAATCTTTTGCAGAGAAAAGTTAAAGAGATAGAGATACTAGAAGAATCATCAAAAGAATAGGAAGATAGATAAAATAAGTTTAAAGTTGTTGCAGAAGAGTTATCTTGACTTTGTATATGCCTCAATATTAGGTTCTCTCTCTACTCCTCAATATTAGGCTCTCTTTTTAGAGTAGGAACAAGTTGTGTAATTATTTTTTCTCTCTATAAGATCAAGTTGTTGATACAATACATACTTGAGCCCAAGGTCAAGTAACAGAAAATAAGGCAATAATTCTTCTTTCTATTTTCTAATAATAGTAATTAGTAAAGACTGTCAAAAAATAAAAATAAATTTCTTCTACTTTATGCAAGGTAGCTGAGTATCTAAGTTTGCGTATTGTTAATATTTTTTTTACCGACCATGGACTGCTGAAAATCAGGCGGCTGACATCTTCTTTCTTCCATCTTTTTGTTGCTGAAAATTAATGCATATTTTTTATTATTATTGAATCTTATTATGCACGCGCCAATTCTATTGGAGTATAGGCTTACATATCAATTGCATGTATTTATATATTTTTATTTTTATTGTGACCTATAATTTAGGGATTTTTGACATATTTTATTTGCATAATAATTGTCACTGCATTACATAATTATCCTATGCTTTGGTCTCTTTAAGTTAAAAAATTTCATGATCTTGATTTTGTGATTTTTTTTTTGTGATTACGCAATGCCATATTTTTTGTTGAAAAATATCAAATGTCATTGTAGACTCCCTATCTTGTGCTAAGACATATTCACATATTTATGAAAATTATTCTTATGTAAGATTTGGCATAAACTTTATTAATTTTTTGTTGCATCACAGCAGTGCGAACATAAACTGTTCGAGAAAATTTTTCTTTGAAGTTGCAACTCATTGAGAGTCGACAAACTTGTTGATTTAGCTAGCAGACAACCTTTTTTTAAACACAATTAAATTTGTTTTTGAACTTTTAGATATTATCTTAAAATTTAAAATAGTATCTAGGCTAGTCATGTCAGAATTATCCAAACTTGAAAAACTCAATGGGACCAATTTTTCAATGTGAAAAATAAAACTTGGATATATTCTTTTTCAAGATAGGGTAGATTATGTCATAGAAACAGAATCACCAGTTTTAGAGCGTAATGCCGATGGTCAAGCCAAAAGGCGACTTGAAAAATGGTTAGAAGATGACAAAGTAGCTATGATTACTATGTTGAGCTTTATGAAAGATGATTTAATTAGAGTCTTTAAGGATTACACCACAACTCAAAGTATGATAGACGTTCTATCTGAAAAGTATGAGACCACTTCTGAGACCCATGTACAATTGTTGTAAGAAAAATACAATTGTTGCAGAATGAAAGAAACGGACTCAGTGACTGAGCATGTTAATAAAATGACAGTGCTCGCAAAGGACCTTGCTGCAGCTGGGAATCCAGTCCCCGATCACATGCAAATGTCCATTGTCCTTAACAGTCTCTCTCTATCTTGGGAGTCTGTTGCAATTGCATTGAACCATTCTGCACAAGGGATAACCATATTAAATCTTCCCATGCATCTTAGTATTGAAGCTGAGATAAGAATGATGAAGAAGTCAAATGAACTCCATTTTGCCCAAAGTTAACCTTCGCAGATCCTCAAGAAACCTTTCGATTATCATAAAAATAATATGTATAAGGGAATGAGGAGAAATTTTAAAAATCAAAAGAATAAGGTTGAGAAGACCTATTTTTATTGTAAGGAAATTGGGCATATCAATTTTAATTGTCCTAAGATGAAAATAAGAGAAAGGACTTGATCTGCGTAGTCCTAGAATCAATAGTTGTCAATCATGACCTGAGAAATTGGTGGGTCAACTCAGCCTCCACTCGACATGTCTCGAGGACCAATGATGGATTCACAGAATTGAAAGATATTGTAGCTGGTAACCAGTGAATTTATATGGGAAACGATACCTACTGCGATGTACTAGGTGTTGATACTTTAAAGTTGTGTTTACCAAGAGGAATAAATCTCTTATTGACTAATACATTGTATGTGCCCAATATGAGGAGCAATTTGATTTATGTCCCAAGGCTAGACGATAAGGGTTATGAAATAAGGTTCAGGTCTGGTCGGGTTACCATTGGGAAGGATTCTAGAGCTTTGGTGTATGGTACTAAAGTTGACAATTTGTACTGACTGAATATTAATGAAAGTTTATCATTTTCTGGTTATATTGATACTTCTTTTGACGCTTTTATGTGTATGGATGATCTATATTTATGGCACTTAAGATTAGGACATATAAATAAAGACAAAATAAATCAAATGGTTAAAAGATATTGCTCCCCAATTTAGGAGAAATTGTGTTCTAAACATGTGAGCCATGTATTTCTAGTAAATTAACTAAGAAGCTTTTCCCTAAAGGCAAAAGGTTTAGTGAACTACTTGGTATTGTTCACTCTGATATATGTGGCCCATTAAATGTGAAAACACATAGAGATATGGAATATTTCGTAACATTTATAGACGAGTATTCACGTTATGGATATGTATACCT